TGTCATCAGTGTAACAGTTAATTAAAGGGTCTTTTTGCATTTCTTCTTTGGCAAGTGGAGCTTTCCCCTCGATGTCGTGCCACTGATGGGCCTGACTGAATGGTTACTTTTTTTGATTTGAGACTCAAGATGTTCATTTTCTTCCCTAAACAATAGATTGTAGGAAGGTGGTATCTCCTCTACTGTTATCTCCAGGCCAGGGGAAGGGTGTAGCTACACTGGGCTATTTTCAGCTGATCTTTGGGCACTGCTGGGAAGGACAGGGACCTAACAGGGAAGAAAGCATATATAGCTTATTCTGTTAAAAACGTCTATAAGTGTTTACTTGCTTTTTGAAAGCTGAAAAAACCATTGGTACCAACTCAAATACCATATGGAGAGTTGGTCATTACTATTCATAGCCTACAGAAAACTGGTAAGAACCTGTAAAGAAAAAAAAAGCCCCAGTTTTCTAGATCGTGTCACTGAGACTCGACCTGGAAATGGAAACTGCTGGCGAGCTCAGATGCTGGGGTCACACAAAGGGAGCATTTCTTCCCCTTCAGATTACAGAGTCTGACTTTCCCTTGTCTGGGACTACGTGGTGCACATAAAAATGCAGTAAGAAAAAGACACACTAACAGCACAGGTATCAGTTTACTGGGAGAATAGAAAAGGAGTGAAAATACACTGTCTTCTCATGTGTACTCCTTTTAGTAGCAGGGGAAATAGAACCAAAGAGAGTTTTCCTTTTTGAATGTTAGTATCTTCATATTTGTCTGTATGTAAATATTCATTGCTAGAAATTACAGCGCTGCAAACCCAGAGTCTGATGCTTTCAGTAAAGCCTTCCATTTCAGAGCTCGGGTCACAAGGATATTTGCAAGTCTTAAAGTTGAAGGTAAGCAATAACAAACATGGTGAGCAAAAGGAAGAGGGTTAACACACCAGCACTAAGCTTCCAGGTTGGGCAGCAGGGCTCGGCTACATCCATCTCAGAAAAAATACAGAGAAGGGCAAATGCTGAAAACTGAAGCGGTGGTGGGGGGAGGAGAAGAAAGCTTTCACAGACAGTGCTTCTACCACCAACATTTATTTCTGTTAAAGCAGATTATAAATCATCAGTACAAATATATATAACTTACATTTGCTTGTAAGGCCAAAGTTTAAAAGTAAAGTTAAAATGAGATGGTTTTCACAAGTCACCAGAGGCAGAACCTGGACCAGCTGCAGCCTTAACCACAAGGTTTCACAAAATCAGTGGGGAAAAAAAATAAAAACAAAGTTAAAAAACTCTAAGATCTATTGACAGACAAACATAAAATGGTTTCCCAGGCGGCCCCGGGCTGTAGATATGATTACAGTAAGTTGTCACAGTAGTGTTAGAACCAATAGATTAAGACAAAGAAACTGCAGCAATACATGAAAGGAAAAAAACCCATACTATATATAATAAGTAGCTTGATTCCGATAAAAAAACAGTAAATTTTCCCCATGGGTTTCAAACCATGACAATACTGTTCTTTAATTTTCTTTATTTAAAACTACGATATAATGACTTACTGGTTGTGATTGTTGTTGCAATATGCTACTTACAATGAACAGATACAAGAACAAGCTAGAGCCCCCTTTTCCACCCCACCCCCCGATATTACTTACAATAAGAATCAGAGATAAATCAATCTTATGTACAATTTCTTACATCCAACCCCCTTTTTTTTTAACCTTTGGCAAGATTACTTACAACTCATACAGCTTTTAATATCCAACTATTTAAAATATTCTAAATGCATAAAAATAAAGATTTTGGCTTTACTTTATTCTTTACATATAATATTCACTTTGTTACTCAAAATGGAAGCTCAACTTTTTCCACAAACCTAGCTTTTGCTAAGCAGGTGACAATCTCCCCTCCGTACCCCCCCCCCACCCCACCCCATTTTTTTTCCCTGAGGGGGAATGTCCAGGACTCGAAGGGCGTCGGAAGGACACAAGTACAAAATCTGCCTTCCTTTTGGTGAGATAACGGGTGTTTCTGCAGAACAGGCTCCGGGACTGGGTGCCTTTCTTTGCTCTGTTTTGACTTCCAGCTTTCCAGGCGAGGAGGGGACGCAGCCTGGGGTGGCGCCGGGACTCCTTTGAAGAACTGCACGTTAAATTCGCTGTATGTTTATATCCTCCCCGTAACCGCTCCCTCTTTCTAACTCATTTTCTTTTGAAGGGACCTTTGGGATTATCAAAGCAAACCGATCACAAACAGTCCCCTCCACTCCCTTTATCCCTCTATTCTAATGTACAATTTACCCACACCCCCCTCCCCCTTCCCCCCAAAGGACTGCTTAAAGTTCAATCTCAAATGTCTTCTGTAAATCGCTGGAGAAGGGGTTGGTCGGCGAGGGGTTGGTGCGCTGCTTGGCCTTGCTCTCCAGCGCTGCCCACTGTGCTTCGAAGGGGTCTACCTGTGGCGCAGGGGCCGGGGGCTGCGAGTGCTTGTCCTCTGCGGCCCATTTGCCCCCCTCCACCCCGTTGAAAGCCGCCGAGCCGTTGTGCTGGGCGGGGGGGCTGAAGAAGGGGCTGCCCGTAGCGCTGTTGCTCTCGTACTGAGGGAACGTCTGCTGTTTGACGAGGCTGGGCGACTGGTGGGGATGGGCCGCCGGAGCGTGGCTGGCCGTACCGAAGACGTTGGCCACCATCTGGGAAGGTGTGATCCCCACCACAGGTACGCTGGGGGCCGCGTAGGACATCCCGTTGGGTACGGCGTAGGGCTGAGCCGGGATGAAGGCCGGCTGCATGGGCGGCACCACACCCACCGGCACAGGCTGGGGAGCGATGAAGGTGCTGACTGGGAAGGCTGGGGCTGTCTGGGAAGCTGCTGGAGGAGGTTGGAGGAGCGGCTGCGGGGCTGGGGCCGGGGCCGGGGCTGGAGTTGGCTGCTGTTGGGCTCTGACAGTCTTTGAGACCTCTTCCAACCAGCGGTCTGCCTCCGAGGGAGTACGTCTGTGATTTCCTTGGAAGAGACTCGGCGAGGCCGCAGCTGAGGAGCTGCTGCTCCACTCGGCGCCTGGGAAGGAAAGCACGGGGCAGTCAGTGATGGCTCCCACCCTCTTACCCCTGTCATCAGTCAGAAAGGCTGGAGGACGTACACAAGAACACACAGGCCTCCACAGCTGCAAGACTGCTACCATCTTTAAGGTACTGTTCTATTATAGGAAGATAGTACTCAAGAAGGGGTAGAGAAGAGTTTCTTCACTAAAATGCAAAATTATCTTTTTTTTCTTCATAGCAGGCACCTGAGAGTTTAGGACAAGCAGGAGAGATGCCACCTGCACTCATAACTTAGTGGCCTTACCTAGTCCATAACCGCTAATTCCTCTAACTGGGGAGTATCCGTTTGTGAATGCACATCTCAGGGCTGGGGGGGTCTCAGAACTCAGAGCTCTAAGAAACTGTTTTTAAGACTTGCTTGCTCTGTTTCCCAAATTAAGGCTTTACCCGCTAAAGGACAGTCATGTAGTGGTACCGGGAGTTCAAGACAGCATTCGTTTTTCTGCCCCATTCCCACTGAAGTGTGAGCACTCACTATGATATAGGATATACAGGCAAATTTAAGGCAATATCTCTAATCAAATTACTATAGATGTAAACTGTACTTACTATGACTCCTTTATATTCTCCCTCCATCTTCACTCTCTCTTCCCTTACTCTCTTCATACATAACTCAGGCTGTTAAACTCTCAAACTGTATTCCAATGTTCAACACTTAGCATTTCAGACTTTTCTTCTATAAAACCAGCTCTAATTTTAACCCATTTATCTTCAATAATTAAAAAAACCCACCATTGTTTCCATTTCTCCCACAGTTTCAAACTCTGTCCCACCAGCTGAATTCTGGTTTTCCTTCTCCCTATAGTTTTCCCTCCCTAAGGGCCCCACCGTGTTTCCAATGTGATGAGAAAAGCAAGCAGGAATGCCAGAGATGGCTCTGCAATCCATGCGTTATTTGGCGGTTTGGAGAAGTGGGAAATCATTACTGCTCAATAGTCTCCTTTCAGCCTAGATCTAATTAAACCTAAAGATTTGTTTACTGTTGTTTTCACAGTGGGAACTGTTGGAGTCAGAGCTTAGAGTCTCTCTCATGGGGGAAGACTTAGTGAAAATGGGCCTGGTACCCTTACAAGGCCAAATAGAACTTACCATTTCAATAGCAAATTTCTCTTTTAGAGTTGAATTTATACCAGGGAATGATGTCAGTTTGATGGTAGCCTACTAGCATATGTGTACCATAGGGGTGACAGCCATTTCAAGTACTACCTTACATGATCTATAACTTGTATAGACATGGGCTAGAGGGACAGACTAAACTTATTAAACAGAAGAAACAAACCTCTAAACCCCTTAAGGAACTCACTTAATCTCTCCTTATGTATGTTAGTGGAAAGAACACACAAAAATTACTTTGGGTACACACAGAGATTCTTTCCCCTTCGCCCCCAGACACACACTATCTCATTACTTCCTTTTTCAGCACTGTGTTCTCTAAAATGCTGCCAAAACAAGGATCAGTCCAGCTTATAGACCCAGAACCACCGAGTTCATCGCTTCCCTCCATCCACTCCTGCAAAAGGCTACTACTTCCAGCTTTTGTTCGTGTTCCTTCCACTTGCCATTAAGTGGCCTTGACAATTGTCTCAGGGGCTCCATTAGGCTTTTGATCCAAGCTCTCACAGCAACGCACCGGATCCAATTCCAATCTTACCGGCGACCACGGCTGCAGCTCCAGTGTTAGCAGCAGGAGCATGAGCCCAGGGATTGGTTTCCCGAACTGGCGTAGCTGCGGGGACTGCAGCAGCTTGGGGTGGGTTAGCAGGAAGCACACACAAGGCAGAGGCAGTGCCATTGACTAAAATGGGAGCAGACAACAGCAGCGCCATTAATTCATGCAAGGCATGCGCGTGGAGCATTAGTGGGCCATGGCGTACCTACCAACACACAACAATTTTAGACCCTTCCACATGACAGCAGTTTGGGTAAATTAACCAAATTGGGCTGACAGTTGATAAAGCGAGTAAATTCCATCTCGCCAAGCCAACGCTTGTTAACAGAACTGTGGGATGGGGGACTTTTTATGTATTTGATGAGATCTTGAGTTCTGATGACTGACTGGAGTTAAATTTGTTTTTATAGCAAAGAGATATGGCTCACCAGAAGTTACTGTATGATTAATTTTAGATTTGAGAGAAGAACAGATTTTAGATGTAAAGTAGCAATAACTGCATTTAACAAGGAGAGGTTCTTTTTTTCACACAATTTGTATAAAAACGTATCAGTGAAATGAAGATTAGAGGCTGCTCTGAGTTCTATAGTTGGCATCTCTCCACAACTTATCTAAGAGTTTGTGTGAAAAATAGTAATCATGTGGTGGCACAAAATCTCTTCCCTTAAGGGATTTGGCTCCCATGACACACACTTGTTAAAGTTTTTGCAGCTCAGGAGCCGAATGTTAAAAATAGCCATTATCTCAAAGCCAGTCCCTTTTACAGGTAACTATCGTGTGGTAGGTGCATGAGCTTTTTGTTAGAAACAAAACCACAAAAACTAAACATACAAGATGAGTAAAGCAGGATGCATTCCCCCAAAGTACTGATAACAGGACTTGCACATGAAATTAAGACCACGTGTTACTGGAAGGCAACATGATACGCATTCAAGTCTCATCCAGCATGACCACAGCAGGCAAAGAAGACACAAACCTTGAAAGGCAGGAGACTGTGGTGCGACTACTGTCACTGGTTTTGTCATGGGGGCCGAGGAGAAAGGATCTTCTGAGGGTGTGCTGAAAGCACTGGTGATTTGAGAGCACAGGGCGCTGATGCTGTCCGTTTCCCCTTCCACCTCTGGGACTAAAAGGTAAACAAAATTCATTAAGTGGGAAGTTTAAAGGATAGAGAAACAACTTACAAATACCAATGTGAAATTGAAATATAATTAGTTCCCTTGTGTCCTAGATGTTCCTGCTACTGATTTGCATGACAGCTTTTTTTAAAATCGGTGTTGAAGACCTGGCCTGAAATAGAACACCACATTAGTGTATTTTATGACTAAGTCAAGAGGGTAAGGAGATCAGCGTTCCAGATTTAAAGTCGGTTATTACTGCTTCTCTGGGTCAATGTAAGAGGATGTTCATTTCAGAAAATAAAAGGTTTTCCATAGCTTTAGTAGAGATCTAAATCTTTCAGTATTAAAGTGCTAAACATATCAAGGATTTGGCGCTCAGATCTGGCACTCTGCAAAATGAAAATACTTCTGATAGATCTAAGTGTTCCAACAACACACTTCCACAGTAACTGGATGAGTTTAGATGTGCTGACAGCAGCGTGCAGTGGCAAGTCAGGTCTGGAGTTAGAACGTGGATTGCTCCAGTTCAGCAGTAGCTGAAATCCCTACCTCCTGTGGGAGAATTATGAAAAGCAAAAGCTGAATGCTCAAATAAAATAGACACTCAGTTTTATACCAAGTATCAGTATAATGTGGATAAAGTAACATTTGGAGTAAAACTGCCGACTTACCAGATGTTCTCATTATTATTAATTGCACTGCTTTGCGGAAGTACTGATCATCAGTCCTTCATTGCACAGAACTGGCATAAGCAGGCACAATTAAGCACAAACAGTATAAAAAACAGAAGATATCAGGACACAACATGCACCATATCTAAAGTTCATGGGAAAGCATGCCCAAAACCTGATTCTTTGAGGGATACTCCAACACGGCGCGTGTGGTGTGACAGGAAGCAGCACTGGCAGCAGCACATGGGAACATGCATCAGAAATGTTCTGAATCACAAAACTCAGATTGCAGCGTGCACAGTGAGCATCACTAGTGAGCAGTGCACTGTTACTATGAAACTGATAAACTCAGTGCTGGTCTTAAAGCACAAGTCACCAAATAAGGACTGTAAGAGAAGTCAGGCTGGGTATTTCTGTTGGTTTTGCCTTTGCCACGGTAATTCTGACTTTAAAGCTAGAAGTAGCTTTGGAAGGTACTAACAGCAGCTCTATTGCCAAGTGAGCACACAGCTGGCCTGCAGGACAACCTGGCTAAGGGGATTCTAGGACATTACGTGGGGTACCGAGCACCCCAGGCATTTACCTTGGGATGATGCTAGAAAAACCCCACTACTGTCATCTAAAAGCTGTGCCACGCATTGCTGATACAGTACAGTACACCACCTGAACAGTACCGTTTCTGCTAACGCAAGGTGAAAAGCCATTTCATTGATCTCAAAACGAAGAATTCAGACAGGCAGAAGGACAGACTGCAGAAAAGCATCACATGATCCCATGACAAGCAATTAAGGCCTGGGAGGGATTTGTCTCTGGAGATGCCCTGGCATTAAGTGGAGGAACTGGTTCCGTGACTCAGAGGGAACCTGCACCTACTAATTCACCAACACCCAATTCCTGCAGCACTTCAAGCTGTGCTCCAGTATTTCAGAGAGTGATTAGGAGTGCTGCCTTCTGCTTGTGAATACTGCCTCGCCTATTCCCAAAGCAGAATTTGGTGATGTTTGTCCACAAGAAGTGACCCACATGAGGCAGGAAGAAGAATTTACTAGAAAACAAGGAGTTATTTCAAGCCACAGAGAAGGAAAGGAGGAAGAGACAATTTAAGGTAATGTTTCACTGGAACCATTTGGCTTTACCTGAGTTTTTCATGGGGAAATCGGTCTTCCTTTGCACTGTTGAAGGCAGCTCATTTATTCGCAAAGACAACTGGCGTTTAAAAGGAGACATCTTTTGGCTCAGGGCAGGGAAGCCCCTGAAAGACCCTTGCCTGGCAAGCTGTTCTATAGGGGCATGCCTCCGGGGGATAGCGTGGGGATTGCTCATTTCTTTATCCAGAGAGGCAGCAGCTTCAGCAGTAGGAGAGGTTGGTGAGCCAGAAGAGGGGGCAGTATTGTTTGGTGCAGCACCTGGTGCTACTGTTTTCACTTCTGGTTCAACTGCTGGAGGAAATACGGTGAGGTTAGAAAAGTAAAGCAAAGTAGCGTTCAATTGCCTGCCCCTACTCCCATTTGTTTTGAAAAAAGAAATTGCAGGAATTTGCATAACTAGTAGTCTTCCAAATGAGTTTCTAATATCACAGTAGAAGAATAATTTCTTCTTCTTTGTCCTCACCATGTCACTTTACGCACATCCAGTCTCCAAAGCAAAGCTTACTAAGGCTAGTCACTTCATAAAAATGATGGCCTTATAAAGGTATTCTTTCTAGCTATTCCCGAGACCCAGCTCTAGAAATACTTGCAATTCGTTTATGACTAAGACTAAAAAGTGTATTGTATTGAGACCTACTTTGCCTCTTAAAACCTACAGCCCAAATATTACTACAGGACTGTACCAGGTTACTGAGAGCAGCATGGCTCAGCAGCAGCAGGGAAGAGAACCCAGCCCTAGGACCTTCTTTTAAAAGCCCCCCTCCCACCCCTGCAGAACCAGCAGCAGCAGCCAGACACAGCGCAGAAGCTCCAGCAGGCCAAGGGCAGCAGCAGCACTGAACAGGTTACGCTGCATTTAGTGCTCCGGCTGCAGCTCCCCCAGGAAATACATTACAGGTAGATGGAAGCGCTGCGAGGCAGATCCTGCGAGCTGACAGCCCCTGCTCACACCAGCCACGTTCACAGTGAGTTCCCCTGTCATTTCTTTAACTGAATTTAGCTGCAGGGCTACCACCCAGTCACTAGTTACTTGCACTGGAAGCTCCTCCAACTTAAAGTCAGCTGCTTCACCTTGCAGGGCTCTGCACAGCACTGCGGTGCTTCTGTCACCCAGGCCTAGCACTAGAAATGTTGGATTAAGCCCAGTGTAAATGGTAACAGTTATGATTAGAAAAACAACAGGGAACTTTCCATGTCTAGGAAAACTCACTCATCTCATAAGTGAATTGGCTTTGGGGGCAATAAACACAGGTCATCAACGCAGCAGAAGGGGAAATCTCGCCATCCATGCGAACTCTTATTTTACCTGTGTTGCTTTCCTAATGTTTCAGGAAAAACAATGACTTTTTTATTTTGTTGGCACATCAATGGAATAACTAGAAGTCCAGCAAGAGAGGAGTCACACTAGAGGTTTCTGAGGAGCTGGAATGGTAGGAGCAACTAATTATGTTGTCTTGCAAGCTTCAGTACCCATGAGTTGCAGCTGCTCGTTCAAGTGAAACTTTTCTAATCAGTCTTTCTTGGAAAGGATTTCACACACCTTCATTGAGTCAAGACTTTGACTCATGCCCTCCAGTAACAAAGGCCTTGTGTTTAAGCTTCATTTAGCACATTCTAAAACTAACGTATGGGAACAAGCAGATGGATGATGAAAACAAAGATTAAAGTTTTGCAATCGAGTGGCAGCATAAAACTTGCCGTGGAACCCTCTGAAACAAAAGTTCAGCTCCACTGGAAAGAGGGCTGTGAACAATATTTATAATACTTATTTTTTATTAGTTGTAGAACTCCACTACTTGTAATAAAAGTGGGGTAAGAAGTTCTACTTTCACTTGAATTTCATTACACATTAAATGGCATTTTAAATGTCTAAGATGTAAAAACTAACTCCTCTCAAATCAGTTAGTTACTAATTTTGAATGTAATTAACAGTGCAAGAGTTACGTGTTTTATTGGGAGTTGTTGTTTTGGTTTGTTTTTTTTTAGAAAGCCCCCGGTGATTGATCTGTTCTTTCCTCATACAATACGACTCTATACGTACATGTTGTAACCTACCTTAAAAATAAAAATACATTATTTTCTAAGAAAAATGCCTACAGTTTTCTGTTTATTTACCATAAGCTTTAGCCTAGAAAGAGGATTACTTTATGTCTGCCAAACTTGTTATATTTTTATAACGTTTTCTAATCAGGCCTTTTAGTGCAGTACACCTACAGTGACCTCTGCTATGAAGCAGGATGACAACCCAACGCAGGAGCAGCTTTCACACACGAAGCCACCTGTGCTGTTTCTAGAGGAAATGTGGGAAAACACGCTACGAGTGAATCTGGGAGCATTTTCACCTTATGAAGTGACAAGCATCAGGGAATTAGGATAATACTGACACAGAGAGGGAACGCAGCAAGGACGCTGAGCCTCAATCCTTGCCCGGGCTCCGACTGACCTCAGCGCTGGTGTTGCTCGCTCTGGGTGATGGTGTAAGTCCCAGCCCGTACCTTTAGCATCCGGCATCTGTCTCATGATTTCCTCTCGCTCCGCTTGTTCAGTAGCTGTAGTGACCCTGAACGACCCCTCTCTGGTGAAGGTGGTTCTGCTGGCATCGAAGGTGGCAGTCACTCCACACTCCTTCTCCCGCTTCTGCTTTCGCTCCAGGCACGCTGCGAACGCACAGCCCACGGCGTGACTCAACCTTTCCCCCTGTAGAAGACAACGTCGCGTCATATGGTAACCGGAACAGAAACATACATGTGCTTCAAGCATGGCAAAGTGATAGCCTGCCTTTACAAGAGGAGTCTAATTAAAGCATTCAAGAGAACTACTGTAATTGGCCACCTTTTGTCTGGCTCTAAAATTAAACCTGGTACATAAAGGTTCCCAACAACTAATGCACAAACAGTGTTCAAGAAGGCCACTCAGAAATGAAAGAGATTGTGGGATATCTCTTTAGTTCATCCAGGATGCTGGTGCAATAACGAGCCTGCACGGATGGATCCCCTGCCTCTGGATACGTTTGTGCACAAAGAAACGCTTGTGAAGACGTCTTAAGCAGGTGTAAGTCCTGAAGGACAGAGAAGTGCTGTTCTCAGAAGGAGAAAGTTCACCGAGGGCTCAGGGAGACACGACAGTTGTGTGCAAGCATGAAAATTAAGAGTACAATGGTGATTACTTACACCTCTTACTGGCCCTGACCAACTGCACAAGTTAGTATTAAGAGTGCCTGCTGAAAAGCACTTCCATTATTAACCAGTGAGGTTACAGGGATCCACTGTCCAGTAACTGCAATAAGGAAAGGGAATTCAAGTCGGAGGGAGCCCAGCATCCAGCTGACACAGCAGCTACAGCTGAGTCAGAGGTGCCAGAACTACCACTACCTCAACTCAGCTGTTATAATCAGTAAGTGAAAAACAGAAATGCTCCAGCTCTAAAGTAAGTTTAACCGGGAATTTCTCTTTAAAGAAAAATGATAAATTGCCGAGTACAATTGCTCTGAACGTGCAGCTATGTGGGGCTCACACAATGAATTTGCATGAGGTTTCAAGTGCTTTGTGTAATACAGGCAGGATCCAACACAAAGCAGAAAAAGGAAAAGGCCACATCAGGGAGTTGAATAACTTACTTAAGTCTACATGGCAAGAGACTGATAGAGGTAACTTACTTTCAAACCTTCTACTGGAAAAATCTCTATCATTTCAAAGCAAACAGAATGCTAATTTAATTCAGTTTAGCTTCATCTCTTAACATTCAGATGACTTTCTATTCAAGACAACATTCGCATACAAGAGGCTGCATTCATAACCAGTCTGTATTTACTCACTATGATTTTATCCTGGAAAAAACTGTCATTGCTGTTTCAGTTTTTGGCTGTATACGTTTTCAGATGAGAATATCTTCTGCCTATTTTTAGAAGAGTAGTTCCCTTCTGCTAGAGATATCTGAGGCTGACTGCATTCCATTTATACACATGCTGGGCACCATTTCTCTCCACAAGACGACACCACAGAGGGATGGCAAATAATTCAGATTACAAAGATATTTTAGCTGAAGTCAAAACATATTGCAGTGTTCTAGATAGTTAATTTTTCCAATCCCAACTTCCAACTAGAGGAGTTGGATACACACCATATTAAACTTACCGTGTCCTTGACAGCCATAAAGCAGTGGCAAATCCAGCGTCTCGTCGTGCCATCGCGACAGATGTATGAGAATGCCCGGTCAAAGTTCCTGTCTGGTGCGCAGAAAGAAACCTTCTCTATTGTCTGATCAACTATAAGATCCTAGAGGGAAAAAATCCCCACCCCCACAATAAAAGGAAACATGTGAGGAAACATGGAGAAACACCTGAACAAGTCATTTTCAGTGTTAACTGCAAGAAGACGAGTTATACTAACAAGAAGATAACCTCATGGGGCTGTAATTATCTGTCAATGAATTCACCATTCAGAATCTATTCCCAGTATGAAACAAAAAGGACAGATGATATTTTCCACCAGCCACCTTCGGAAGAAGCACCACTTAAGAATCTAGATGGACAAACAACTCCTAAGATCTCTCCTCTAGACTATGGAGCTCACATTTCTGTTTTATTTTATGTTTACAGCAGCTCCAGTAGTCTTGCAATCAAAACAATCTTTACTGTGGTTAAAACACAAGGCTGAAACTTATGGGAGAGGTCTGTGAGTGTGAAAAGGTCTAGCAGCTGCTGCACAACAATCAAAAGCTGATCTGCCAATTAGCTAAGAGGGATGCAATGGAAAAGCACCAGCAGCGCTGGTAGTACCAAACGGCCCTGATTTGTTCCCAAAGGTTGATGGGAGAGGTGTTTCTAAAAAGGAAACAGTATAGTTCAACCACTATGCTATCTTCATTAAAAATTATTTTTCCTTTTTTTTTTTTTTTTAAATTGTTCCTTTGAGTTGGTGGTTAGTACTTGGCACCTGTGCTAATGTCATCAACCACCAGGAGGCAATAGTATATTCTCTTTTTAAAGCCTATACTTTTAATTTCCTCCAGGGCCTGCACAACTTATTAAAATTCAATTTTAAAAGGTTAGATATATTGCGCAGTAGCATTTCTAAAAATAACACATGTATTATTATTTTTAAACGAGGCAATCAGTAGACCGAATTCACCTACGTAGGTATGTTTGTATTAGAAACTGAATTGTTAAGAGACAGTAACTGTAGCGCTGATGAGCGATACCATAACAGCAGCCCCAGAGAGTCTGGCCACAGAGCAGGTACGTGACCGGAGCTGCACCGCAGAGGGATACGTTATCTCTGCCTGCTTCTCAGCGTTGGCTGGCAGAAATCATCTTTTAGGTTGACAATGGGTTAAATGACATGAGTATAAAATGAATTCATTTCAGACTAATGAGAGTAAGAAGTGTTCTGATGCCATCTTTTAAAATACTAATACGCTTATAGAGGCAAGTCTAAAGCTCTTCTTTCTAATGGCCCACATCTAGATAAAACCAAGAATCACTTGCTATTACTTGCACACAGGGGTCTTGGTGGTATATACTGTGCTATTTCACAATTAAAAAAAATAATAAAACAATCTAGAAGGATGCCACGAATACATTAGTCTTCCACTTCGCAACCACAGCTTAGACATTAGAATTAGAAATTATCTAATTTGATACTCAGTTACTATTTAGTTTGAGTCTGAAGGCATAACCCCTCTATTTCATTTACTATGTTCATTACATTTTTGGAAACTAGCTCTCGTTCATCCAGACCCATTCTGGGATTTGGATACACTGAAAATTGTATTGATTAACATGAGATTGCTCATGTCTTCTTATAGCAGCCTTCTGCAGCGATGCAGAACAAAGCCAAGGGACTCTCCTAGTTCAACACCAACACAGCTTATCAGAAAAAAAGAGAGTTCTTCTGGTAAAGGCAACAAAAAATAGCTCACACTTGTGCTACCTGACACATTTTATGGAGCGTGTCGTGAGAATAGTGTGAAATTAATCAGAGAAAAAAAATCAGCAGGAATACACATGTTTACAAAGCACAAAATGATTAAGCTAATCACACACTTCAGTCTTCCTTTCAAATGCCAACATTTGCAATAACATAAAGATTGGTGTCCGTTTAAAGTTGTAGCACATACATTATTATAGAAAGATTAACAACTTTTTTCCAGGGAAATCTAACCTTTGTTTTCTCATCTACAACTCGGAGTCCGTCCGCCGAAACCCACAGGACTGCTTTAACGGCTTTCTTCCCGGACTTTCAAAAAAAGACAAAAAAAAAAGGAAAGAAAAAAAAAAGAACAGTTTTATGCCAACAGCATCAGGCTGCCACCCGCTTCCCCTTTCCAAGAACCATAACAGTAAGTGTAGATGAAGTCCACGGTCAGTAGGGTGCCCAAAGCCAGATACTCAGTCCAAGTTGCAAAACATTCAGAGAACCAAGCCAAAGCCAGTATTCCAGAAACAGCACGTCGTGGGGACGGGGAGAGGGCAAAGGACGGGTGGAGGCGAAAACAGGGTGTACGTCCACTGACAGTAAAGAAATCAAGACTGACCAGGTGGGTGAAGAATTCCACTAAAGAGTCAGAAAACACTAATTCATAAGGAGTTACACCACGGGTAGCTTCTTTAGCACAAGTTTAAACATAGGAAAATTCTTACCTGGTATTTCCACCAGCCCTACCCTCTGCCCCAATAGCCGCATGGCAGAATCACGGCATCACCTTAAACCAGTGTTAAAAGCACCCAAAAAAATCATCAGTTATTGTGTTATGAGCGTAATGCTAAGATCAATCATCCAGACATGTTTTATCAAGAGCTAAGTGTCACGTTTTGGAAGAGAAGCAGAAACACAGGGTTTCTTAACCATTGGTGTGTATGTGGGGAAGCAGCGGTGTGCGAGAGGCCCAGGAGCCGCCTGGCTTTTGGCCAAGGTCCGGCTGTAGGAACCCTGAGCTGCCACCAGCTGAGGGCTCCTCCTCTGGAGTCACTTAAACTACAGATTCCTTCTAGACTGTTTACTTTTTAAGGGAAAGTTACAGAAAACAGTATAAACAATTGACACAATATTCTTCAGAAACTAATTAATTGAACAGAAAATAGGTACAAGATGTCAACATTATTTTACTGGTTGTTACGGAGCAATACTACTAGCAAAATAATCTTCTTTTTTTTTTTTTTTAAATGTGCTGATTTAATTCCCAAGCACCATACTTTAAGCCAGCTAATAAACTCTTCTCCCTATAACTTTTTTTGAAGCGCTGGGTTTACATAGTTTGTGGCTGCTAATGGCACCCAGCACAGACCACTGTGGGGAGTGAAGAGAGCAACAACAACAAAACAAGATGAGGGGCTATCAGCTAATGGCTTCATGCAAGAATTGCAATTTTTTTTTTTTTTTTTTTAATAGTTCATTGCAGATGTGTATTATCTATATTTATATGGCAAGTAATGGAGCAAGGACTCATTCTGGCATAAGCTACCACATCTTCCAAGTCTGCAACATCAATTTTAATGCTGCAGGGATGAAATACCTTGGAGTGAAAAGTCTCCTGTTAGATCACATTGGTTTCATTCTCAGAGAAAGCAGTAACTGTGAAGAAAAAGGGCCTGGCAGGACTTCTGTTTGTTTTGGGGGAGGAACTGTCCCAATTTCGGAAGCAGCAATGACAACCAGAGCATTTTCAAAAAGCTTGGTGAGAACAGAGAATGGCACTGACTTGTACGGAAGAGTGATTAAAAGAGAGAGAAAATAAGCACAGCATGAAAGCAAGCTATGGAGAATTGCTTACAGAAGCAAGTTTCTAAATGTCCCTCAGCCTGCTGGTTACCCCAAAGAAGGTTTAAAGTAAAACTGTCAGATTCTGGAATTCCTTCATGGAAAGAGTATAATTCACAAAGGAAGATGTAATTAAATTTACCATCATACATGTAAAAAAAAAGTATTGCAGCATGTAAAAGTCACTTATACGTTTTACTGTTAAAAGGCAGTAAATATTGATACCCTCAAAATATAGCCTGTATTTTCAATGCTCAGCCAGCTTCCATAGCATTAAAGTCCTTATTAATCCCCCAAACAAGTGGTTTGTAGAGGTCTGTCTCCTTGAACTGTTTTAAAAAGAAGCACCAGTTTCCTATAAGCTGTTAATAGTCTTAAAATCTCTATTCCAAGCAAATACAATCAATGAAGATAAGACAATGCCTGCAGGTAACTGTTTGGTTTAGATTACCATCACTGGAAACTGAGATCCATGTCTTTCCCCAGCAAACAATAAAAACCTTGTTTCTGCAGAAAGAGTGAACGGTTCCTGAAGTTTGTATTAAACAAGTTTAACTGAGCTGGGTACTTCATAAAGCAGTACTGATCTTCAGCAGAGCTACTCCTCACCTGCTATTTTACCAAACGAGGATTTAGAAATAGCTAAGACATAGAACTTCATGTTTCTCAGAATAAAACGAAAAGCCTAAAAGGCTAAGTCCTCCTCTCCCCCTGGAAACATAAAGGTCCTTGTGCAAGATAGCCAATCACGGGTTTGCTACACTAAGAGAAAAAGAAAACACACTTTTATCTCCCAACTCCTTCTTCTAGATTTATGGTTGATGCAGCGCTTAGAAGGGGTGGGCCCTTACAGTCTGTGTCCCAAATCCACAGCTACTATTGTTGGGCAACATGTGGATTTTCCCCATCTACTGAATCCTCAGCTTATCCCTGTCTACAAGGGATGTATAAAGGAGCATACTTTTCCAAATCAGTTCATGTTGGCTATACAGATCAAAGTACTACTCTGTAATGGGTGGGATATTGCCAAGTATATTGTGATTACAAAGTAGATACGAGCGTTTGCCCTCCTGGCAGCCACTGGACAAAGATCAGACCAGAAGCAAGATACTGCATGGGAAGCAAACTCCAGTGCAGGGACACTGAAAGGTATAGGTGACTCCAAACAAATGTATTTAAAGCAAATGGTCAATATCTACTGGAACAGTGTGGTCTTAAATGTTACTACCAAGGGACTCGTCTAGACGTCCGTATCAATAGCCTGTCTTCATATTCAAGAGCTTTTGGATGACAGGATTGCTGGAGGAGCCACGTGTGGCACCGACTCCCCGGAGCCTGATCTGTCAGTGCTGAGTCAGCCCCAGCAGAAACCTGGCTGCTCAGCATTTCTTCAGAGACCAGTAACCTGCTCCAGTGCAAGATTCGTTATCTGGACTAATTTCAGGGCCCTCAGAGGTCTCCAGGAGGGTGGGAGAGGCAACAAGGTCCGAAGACAAAGCAGAACAAGGGAAATCTCTCCGACAGAGATGGGCATCCACATAAACAAAAGAAAAAAGGAAATGGACTAAATCTGAAATGCACATACTGAAATGTGCATTTCCATGCACTGTGATTTCCTAATCAACGGTGCAGGTCATGATAATTTAACTGTTAGAGCAGACAGGAATGTGGAGATAATAAGGACCTACACTGTAAGCTAGAAAATAAAGTTTTAAGGATACTAGAGCAGAATTAAAGTTGTCCAATAAGGCATTTTTTTAAATACTTGTAAATTGCTTCTAGTCTTTCTGCGTATTTTATTCTGTCCTGGGACTTACAGCTGTAAAATATATCTGCAGCCTAAGGTATATAAAAATAAAATCTTTCATTTCAGACTCTGTATAAAATATTGCATAATGAGAAATACCTGCACTTGATGGAAGCAAAACGTGAGAAAGATCACCAAATCTGTACTACTATTCATTATAGCAGAAAAGCTTAAATTTTAAAGTATAAAGAGCTGCCTAAAAAGACAGTTACATTGCATGCGCTACATAAAGTAAAACTGCAGAAGCCCAACCTGGAGCCATCAACAGACTCTTTTTTATTTAACGCTGAAAAGAGGGTATTTTCCATACTGAACACCTGAACATTTCCAGACAGAAATCCATCAGATTTATCTTTTAGAGGAGAAAATACGGACAGGGAAAGAAGCAAACCTGTCTAGACTGACTTTTTGAAAGCTGGTAGGGCATTTGAAGCAGCTCTGCAATTTGGAATATTATATTAATCCCCATGCAAGGCATCTGTGGAAAAATTATAGATAAGACAGCCAAAAGATATTAGAGTTATTAGTATTCCTCAAATATTAGAGAGAGAACAGCTGTCCCTTTTTTTTTTTCCTTCAGTTTTTTCCCTAGATTTGGCCTGTCAAAGCTGTAATAAAGGCACTGCCACACTGACACCGAGGGGCTATATATGGATTTAAGTGCTTTCAGTGCTAACTAATATAACTTCACAGGCTGAAGCAGAAGTAGGTCCCTCTTTGGCAAGATATTATAATAAAAGGCCAAGCAAATCTACAAGGTTGTGGCCAAGTACTGGACTTGATAAAAAAAAGCCACTAAGATGTAATGGGGAAGCTGGCATATTTAATAAAAAAGTCAAAGACAGATTTTTAAGTACTATGCAAAGCTCTGTCCTTTTACATCTTTATTTTCTTATCTATCCTAACATGAGTTAATACTAGCAAGCAGAAAGAAATCTAACGTATCTTACGAGGATGAGGTAGGGCTTTTTCTCTGTTTGTTTTAAACAAATTGTAAGTAGTTAGCAATTCAGATTGTAAAGCAGCATTTCATTCTTTGTAGATTCCAGCTCTTAAAGTTTGCTCACCTGTAGGAATGATGTGATTAATGTGACAGATCTCCCGCCCACAGTACGTTGGCCATTCACTATCACTACACTTTAGATGTGTGCTTTCCCAGTTCATAGGAAGAAACCTGATTTGGGGAAAACAGCTGTCTCTCTGTGACATGCCTCACTACCTGAGTGAAAGGTGAAAAAAACCAACTTTATTTACTCCCAAATAGAGCCAAAACAAACCTGTGACCAAATTTGCTCCAAAAGATTTTTGTATGTACAGAAGCAACAAACCTGTTCATTTCTATTTGAGCCAAGGTTCATTTTATAACAAGATACTTCAGAAGCCATATCTGACATTAACTCTATACGAAAACTAAATTAAAATGTTTTACAGGAATTTTAAATGCAGAGGTAGGGAACAGATGAGAGGTAAAAGAGAGAGAGCTCTTTCAAAGTTCTACACGCACCACCTTGCAGAGATGTGGACAGCAGGAATAAAACCACTCAGCTGCCAGTACAGCACATTCTTAATAAGGACAAAGAGATGCTTCTCTCCTCGCCTAAGACACTGCCCTCATGAAAACAAGAGCAACGATATAAACAGTGAATTTTTCAGTTATACACTTGACTTGCAATTAGAAAAACATAGTAGGTAAACGCCTGGTCTAATCTTCATATATGGCTGAAATAGGACTGCTGCTCAAAAAAGAAAGGCGTAAGAGATGGTATGTGGAGGCACCCTGCTTTCTGCCGGAGCTAACATTTGGGTCAACGCGTGGTGATCAATGCTGATCATGAAGCACAGACCCCAACTCCTCTCGGTGTTTGCCCAGGTGATGTAGGCCCACGCAAATTTAAGGGTTTAAAAAGGAAAATTCACATTTTTCTTTCATGAAGCCCAAATCACTTCAGAACACTGGATTTCCAATACAGTCCATACAGATTTAAGTTTCTGTTTCAGGTTGCTTTTTAAACCATATTCTTTGTTTGATCGATATATTTCCAAGTCTGTTTTGGAAGCAAATATTGTGAAATGGATTAGGGGACTCTCAACACCCTGATTTTATGGCAGTGCTATACCAGGGATGTAACTCCTTATAGTGCAAGCACAAACGAGGCATTAAACTTACTTTTCCAAAGAAGCCTTTGAAGAACTTCCTTTCCTGGAGGAACAGGGGGGACAAGTCGAGCGCTATTACTGTAGGTAGCTAAAATGTCCCAGGTTTTCAAACCAACAAGCACACACAAGAATAGGGTTTGGAGGGAAAGGAAGGGGGTTTTAGAGTTATCCATGAGAAGGTGCGACAGGCAAATGTGAAAATAATCCCAAGAAAATGCAGATCAAAGGGCACGCACATAATTCTAACAAGCTATTGCCCTGAAATTGGTGGAAAGAAGAGAACCTCAGCCCCAATTTCATGCAAAGTGGTTACTTTATTTTCACTCTCCCTTGTTTAGTCCCTTTTGGTTAGGTTATAAACCAAACTTGGCAGCAGACATGGTGGTCAAACAATTAAAATACTGTATGGGCTCTTGTGAAATGCAAAGTTGTAACTCCAGAATTAGAGTCAAGTTTGCTCTCTGTTGATTGCTCTTTCCCAAAGCAAATGCTTTGTAAGCTGGAGAAGCACGTATAAAGCAGGGCTAAACACTGCTTCATTTTATTCCATTCATTTGTTGCTTTGGTTTAGGTGCTACTCCTACACTTCACATCTTATGCAGTCTTCTCCGAACACTGAGGAATTTCATCTCACCGTGTACAACACCGTACAACTAAAACACAAATGAGATCCCTTCCTCTTGCACTCTCTCTAAAGCCTTCCAAGGCTTCATACAATATTTACACAAATACTAGATATTCATTCTACAACTCTGAGTTGATAGGCTGAACAAGACCCCTTTAAGGTCAGCAACAGTCAGGCAAGCGCAAAGATACCAAGAGATGAACCACAACTTCCTAAATCTCTTCAGCCTGGAAGCAATTATACCGATTGCCCAATTCACATTAAGGAAAAAGGCAGCACACAATTTTAAGCATATTTGCATGCAGTTTAGTTTACGGGCTTTATTTTGTTACCAGACTGTGAAAAGAAAACTGCAAGATCTAAAGTGATCTCCTGAGAGAAGCCTTCTCCAGGCTCTGTGATCACAGCCACCACCCGCTCCACGTTTGAGGGAAGCTGGAGTGAAGCACAGTGCTGCTCCTGCTGTCCTTCCAAATCGCCTCGCCTGGAAGAAAGCTATGGCATAGTAGGAACGAGGAGGAGGTGGAAAATTGCAGATGAGACAGAGAGCATCTTTGTGACAGCCCCTGACCCCAAATTAACCCTGCGTAATTCCAACGTGTTGATCGTTGATAACAATACTATATTAAAAATATAATTACAAATATCCCCAGGCAGCGTCTGGAGAATTGATTGATAAACAAGGTTATATTTAAAACAAAGCTATGGTTCTGACGCAAGCCAACAAAAGCCAGGAAACACAAAATTAAGAAGGGAGTGTCAATCTTGACTTTGCATTTCCTGACCCGTGCTGCTGCGTGGCTCTGCCTGACATCCTTCCACACTGTAATATATTTATGTCAACTCAGACACTGTACAAAGAACATCTCTGAGTACAGTCAGCTGAAGAGCTTAACAATTTTTTAGAGGCAGGAATGGTTATGTATTTGGACAGGATATGCTGAACACTAGGAGGGGAACTAATGGATTAATCACAGTGTTGTGTACATAATGAGAAGGGGTTGGATGCTGCTGCCAAGTTGAGCAATGACTATTGCATTACACTAAATAACAGCTTTTTAAAGATAGCAAAAGCTAAAGATTCACCAGAAGCTACCTCATTTTTAGGTGATGGTTAATTTTGCTCTCAGCAAAACGCTTGTTAAACAAGATTTTTTAAAATAAACTAGACAAGGTTAATGGAAAAGGCATCATGCAAATGGGTTTTAAACAACACTAAGTTAATGTAGTTTAGAGATAACTAATGCATGTTTTAAAATATTAAATTATGTCTCTTTACCTGCTAAAACAAGAACATATATTAAAACAAATTCATCATTTAAAACAAAAAGTGGCAAGTTAGAAACCAATACTACACGCTAAAGCTGATTTAAAATCGAAACATGACACGAGAGAGAGTATACTTCTGTCTTTATATGATGTTCCCGTACCTGAGTCAAATAGACTTACAGGGCCCTTACAAAGTGATTTTCCACCTTGCACCAAATATTTTAAATACAGTGAAATGGTTCTGAAGAAATGAATGGCTCTAGCCAAATACAAGGATCCTACCAGATATGAAATGTATACATAGTTAGTAATACATCCCTACTAAGGGAAAAATGTAAGCTATATTGGTAACTTCCTACTACTAAAGGGAAAATGCAAGTTCCACTGGTAATGCAAACCCATGTTAATAATAGACTGAGAGCTGAAGGCATGGGTTTCTGATCTATTAATGAGACCGTGGTGCTATTTCATTAGACAGAAAATAGGGCCATAACTAAAGTTTGTCTTCATTCATTCTAAACAATATTACAGACTGCACATTATAGTAGCATTGGTGTGCAATTTCAGAGCTATAAACCTGTAACAACAGAATACAGTACGGATGAGGGATTCTCTAGCTAACAGTGGCTGCTTTTACTCAGTTGTCAATTAAACAATGCCTGAATAAAATGCTCACCATCATCTGGTTTCAAGTTCTGCAAGGTGCAACGCTCGAAACCAATTTAGCCACATTAAACAAGCAAGTAATAAAAAACCCCTAGAAGGTTATTTCCCGCAAAAGAGAGACGGAAAGATGTGTTTGCATCTTTTCTTTCAAAAGCCAAAACAGAAATTAAGCTGTTCCTACAATTAAGATTAACACTGTTCTATATTCTTGTTCCCCAAATGAATTGTCGACTAGTGAAGAACAAGAATTCAGAGGGGGAAAAAAAAAAATCTATTGAAATAAGTAAAGACAGAGAAAACTTGATTTTTAGAAGCTACAAGATACAAGAATTCAACAATTCTATCTTAGAGAACAGAACTATTCTTTATTGACTAGATTTGGTTTATAAAACCTACACATTACCTGCAAAGAAAACAGTAAAGATTAAAATAAGCCACGTATATTTTGATGCAGTTTAACCACATGAAGTGAAGCCCAGTTTCCCTGAAGCTAGTCTTTGAGTTTGAGCACTGCAGCTCAAACCTGTAATTCTTTCAAGACCAAGAGAAAGCCCATCAAAATAACCAAGCACTGTGAAAGCAAGAGACTTCCAAAAGAACAAACTGTTTTCTTAACACATTCCTTCCACGCTGAAACATCATCCAGTGGTTTGGCTTTTGATAACTAAGAGAGCATATTGTGCAGAAAAGAGCTTTCAGTAGTAGTAGAGTCCTAAAGATGTGCCCCCAGGTTTAAGACCTGTGTGCTGGGGTGGGGGGCAGGGGTTGAATTGCAGTGAGCAGCTCCAAATGAGTCTGGGATCTGATGGAGTCCAAGTAACCAAAGCTCACAGAGTAGTTCCACTAACCAGAATCTTCCTCTTGGGCCCCAATGAGAATCCCACCTCTGCTCCTCAACTTCCAACTCTGACAAGAGACAACGCAAATCACCAAGAGACACGCACTTGTGTCTGATTTATCAAAAACTTAAAACAGCAGAAGAAATCAAAGTTATCTGAAGAAAAAAGTTGAATTTATGAGAACGGATAAGTTGATGCTGCTCACAATTTGAAATAATGACACAGCACAGAATAGAGAAATTAAATTAATTACTTCCAGAGAATGCACTGTAAAAGCTAGATGTCCAAGTCTGACATATGAATCAATGATTCTGGTGATCAAGAATCACAATTCTGGAATTATCCAGATTCTAGAAGAAACTGGGAGTTACACTTTTACTGTGTCTCATTATTTATAAGCTTGGCTACGCTTAACTGACTTGTGGGCTTAAAGTTTATAAAAAAAAACCAACCTAGAGAACAAATCCTTCACAGGATAGCTCCCCAGAGAACAGAATGAGAGAAGTTGCATAAAGTAGATACTGCAACATGGTGTGCTAAAAGAAAGTATTCTTACAGAACAAAAAACAGAATGAGACAAAAACGGATGCAATTCATTATGTGGTCAGTACTTGCACTTTTAGCTACGCAAACTAAATCCACAGAACAAAGAAACTCATTTATATTTTGTGTGGCCCTTTTTAATAAAAATCAATCACCAATCACTGTTGGACTGAATAGGAACAGATGGGATGCGGCTTTAAGAGGTTGCTATACATTAGCCAAGAGAGAAAAGAATGAAAAGACTTGATTTTAATCAGAGCACTAAACCAATTCAGAAACTTTACAGCATAACAGAAGGAAGAAAAGATAACTTATAATCCTCTGTTGCATGCTAGGAAGAAGGGAAGAGCAGGTTTAGCTGGAAGCCATTTGAGCTCTCACATTAGGTGAGGGGGAAAAAAGCGATGCCCGGTGGCAGATAATCTTAAATTAGCAAAGGTGCAGAAAAAGTGTTTGATGTACTATCAGTAATTTTGCTGAGCTACAAGAATAAAAGAGTTTCTTCCACTGAAGGCATCACTGAAGAATGTACGTAACTAAGACAGGCAAGAGAAATGATGAAAAGGATTGCAGTTCTCTATCTCCATTCAGACTTCAAATTTTAATGCCCTTTCTCCTCCTGTTCTCTTCGATGCTGTTTTAGCCTCAGTTCCTTGATAGACTGATCATTGCCCTTCTGGAGTTTGCCGTTTCTGCAGGATTTTGTGATATTATTACTGCAGGAAAGAGATGATAAGACCTCTTCAAATGAGCCACAGAAATACAAAGAGCTTTGAACGAGTGCCATTGACAGGAGCAAACGTTCACAGAAGCCAAACTTAAGAGCAGCCCACTTCATGGCATATCAGAATTAGGCAGCCTTCAGGCCACTCTGAGCAGATGCAAGCCAGATTATTTCATGCATGACTATGATGTTGCAGTGCATTAGAAAAAAGCAGCCTAAATCAAGTAATATTTTGTATAATAATGGTGAATTAAGTCACTATTAAAGTGGCAGGCAACGGAGGGAGAGAGAGAGGGAGAGGAGGAGAGAGAAAGAGAGGGAGAAAGAACTGTTAAAAACAATGGTTGAAGTCCCATGTGGGTACCCCAACTTAGCCTGAAAGGTCACAGAGGATTTTTACACATTTGTTTTGCAAATAGTTTCTGCAAGTGGAAAGCACAGTTGTAACTCTCTCCCTCTCATCATCAGATTAGCACATCCCCCTGACTGCAGCAGTGCTCTCAAACCGGCCAACTGTTCTCCTAACGCGGGTCAAAAGTTCAGTCTTTTGCTGGGGCACCGCCGCCACTCGGGCCTTTCCCAGTAACAGCCCCAAAACCAACTCTTTTCACGAAACAAATATACATACAGATTTCAGTCTCTTCACAGCATCTTCACAGATATGCATTCCTCTGGATTCATCCACTTCGACATGTCCCAGGTACTGCAGGAAAGAGAGCAGGGGGAGAAAAGCTTAATAACAGCTTCTTAAACTCACTGGGTTTTAAAATTCAATCTCTGAAGGCAGCTCAGGACAGTTGAGCTGATGGACACCAACAGCACTGTGTGAGCCTTCCTTCCACCTGTACTTGGAGGTTTGACTTGGTATGTATATGGGACACCCGCAGCAGTGGAAAGGCATAACACATCTAGACATCTTGAGGGAAAGACACACTCTTCTTATTCAGGGAAAAAAAATGAAATGGAGAAGTAGAGCTGTATTTTCATGCATATTCATCATGAGCTTTAGTCACTTTATTTAGCAGCATAGCGTGAAAACTTTAAGTCAATAGAGATGACTGTGAATAAATCATTTTTGAATAATGACAAATATATTTAGTATCGAAAACTGAATTATACTACATAGTAAGATAACCAGATATATTTGGATGTGCATGTCCAAATAAAAGAAATTTCAATGTTATAAACAGAAAAAATTCCTTCTTCCCCCCCAACTTTGCCTTAAAGTTGTAAACCAAAATGGATTATGTTCATTACAACATCAGGCTCTCATGTGGACACTGAAACATTCATCATTCTCACAAAAAGCTTTTAAAAATACCAGTTTTCTGTATATTCATCTTGTCACCACTTAAAAACAACAACAAAACAACACTGAACAGAAACTGTAATTTTCAAAGCTTTTAAATTAATAACCCAGAACAATATTATCCTACAGAGAAAGCAATTTCCAGAAATACATGGGAGTGTAGTGCAGTGCTCAGGGGACTGTGATTAGTTTCATTTTACATTCTGGGGAAAAAACAGCTCAAAGTTCTCCAATTTCTCCCTACCTTTTCCAATCACAGTTCTTTTTGATAGGGGAAGGAAATGTTCTCTCAGAAACATTCATACCCTTATGCAAAGTACTTAACTCTTGAAGAAAACCATGGAAACTATGAAATAACAGCTGTCTGATATTTTGTAATAAGAGGTATAGGTCAAAGAAACTTACCCCAATTTACATGGCATTGTAAGAATTGTATGCAATTCAGCATCTATATTCTAGTCTAGCTAGAGAGTGAAGAAATGGGTTTAAAATATCCGAATCAATATTTTTGTCACTTAATGCAGTAGTAAACCTAAGTTTAATCATCCATTGAGAAGTCCCAGTCAATCAGAGAATATTCTGTCATGAGTTTTCTAAAATCTCCCAGTTTTTGTTTCATTTATTAGGATACCATACTTCACTAGATGGTTAGAGAAAGATTTTGCTCTGTAGCACCATACTGAAGAGCTCTAGCAGAATAATATAGCAGATTCAACTAAATGGACAAATGAAGACTGCTTTTAAAGATTTAATAAAATTTTGAAAGTTGAGGTTTTTTTCATGCAAGGCAAGATGCTCCAAAAAAGGAGATTCTATGTATCACCCTACATATCATTAAACTGCCAGAAGATTTAAAAGATCTTAAGTGAAAGAGAGCTTTAACATTAAAACTCACCATGTGGCATTTTTAAAACAGAGTAAATCTGTATGGAACAATTCTGCAAGAATTTCATTTAAACCAGCCCTCACAGCTGGAGAACAGCTTGAAAAATAAATTGCACAGAAGCTACAAGGTAAAGAAGAGAGATCTGACACTTCAGAGCTTTTTCAAAACGAGCTCTGTGAAGCTGAAGCCTTATAATCGAATCTGCCAAAACAGCAACAGCTGAGCTTGCTGAACACTTGCGCAAGATCTTCCTTTCTCCAGAACACACACTAACTAGAATTTTAGTCCTAAAAAATACACAATTAACAACTAAAGATGCATTTACCGTGTGTCTGCAAGTACATACTTATACCAACAACTACTGTAGATGGACCTTCTTCTGCCAAGACTCCTCCGAAAGTCCCAGAGATGCAGAAATCTGTGGTTGTGTATATTTGTCAGGGAGAAGTTTTGAGTTTAGTAACTTAAAGTTTGTCAACTTCTCTTCAAAAGTGTGTGTGTGGGAGGGAATATAAACAGGAATAAAGCTAATGTTTATAGAGGACAGAAAAAAGCCATATGCATGGAATGAGCCATTGAGTTTGCATGACCACTAAGTATCACATGAACAGAGGACAACTTCTGGATTTCCTGAGCTACCTGCACGTCTCATTTACCTCAGTGTAGGCAAAATATTCCCAACTGAAGATCCAAACCATTCAGTCCCTGCACTTGGCAACCTGCCTTTCGCTTGGAAAAGGGAGAAACAGAGCAGGGTAAATATTGCCTCGTGTCACACTCCAAAACAGACAAGCATTTTGCCCTGTGTTGCCAAACCTCTATTCAAGTCCCATGCTCCAACTTTCAGCCATCAGTCATGCCACTGCTGCTGGAGACAGCGAGTTTAGCTCCGGTTTTCAATGCTGCTTCCACTCCAGTTGAATGGGGACATTATTGCACTTATCAAGTGCATCTACCCACACCAAAAGGGTACAATCCACAGAACTCATTGAGCATCAATCAATTCTGAATTATAAAAGAAATTGCACTGTCACACAATACTTCTTTAGGATATAGAGGACAAAAGATGCTTTCTTTGCACTTACACTTTAAACCCTTCATAAAAAAAACCCCACTTGTTCTTCCCACTGCACCATTTTTGCAGAAGCTCACTCCTATCAGTATTGGTGGCCCTGTACATTTCACAGCCAGTTTCAAAATTTTTCCTGGGTTTTTTCCTAGGGTAGGGTGGTGGTGTGTTAATTCCTTATAGATACCAACAGATTTTTAAGTTTCTTTCTTGTACAAATAACTTTCAACTGCATAATCAGAAACCTGTAGTCCTGGTCGTCTTCTTTTTATAGCCAAGTGTACCTTAAGCAGCAGGTCTCCTTCCAAGCCTTCAAGCTTATTTCTAAAACCTTTCTTCCCCCCACCAGGCTGAGAGCAGATATACACGGCTCCTGTATTTAAGCAGTGCTACAATAATTAGCTGACTTTCAATGGGTAGTAATCAAAGACATAAATATTTCTTCAAGAAACTTGGAGAGCAGCTTTGCTCCAGACAGATTTTTTTTCTAGTACCCTTACATTTTAATCAGAAGTGTTATATCACAATTGTATCACTACCTAACCTTAAATTTTAAATATTACCTCAATTTATTAGTGCTACAACATTTTATGAGTGACATTTCAAAATTTAATGCAGAAAGAAAATACAGCTGCTGGTTAGATTAAGACATGGTCTGCTTCTCACAGCCTGAAATGGAAGTTAAAACCCCAGAATTCAGGTCTTAACAAAAATAAACTACAACAGGAAAGAGATTGCCTGGAAATCACTTTAAAAAGCACATACACAAGTCCCACTCTTCTATACACAGCCTTTCAGGATCTCTGACAGGAACTTCCCTTTCAAACTAAAGAAGAAGAAACACGTTCTGAAGTGCCTGGGCACTCGTCCTGTGTAAGTAACAACTCGTGCAAATCCATCATGGCACATTAACACAAACACACTCAAGGACCGGGAGGCTTAATTACTGGGTGCACAAAAATCAATGCAAACTGCATAAGCCATGCCATGGTGGCTGATGACTTTGCAGAAGGGTAAGGAAGGCGGTACCCTGGACACATTTGCAAAGAGCGCTCCTTGTCACAAGCATCACTGCAACCAGCGGTCCTGGAGAAAACGAGTACTTTTCCATCATGAAAGTGCACGTAGTAGGAATGCAGTATTAATATTGAATGCATTCCTACTTAATTTCCATAGCAACCAGTGAATGACAGTCATGACATCAGCAATTCTCAGCCATAAGATGTTCTGTATGAGATTTAATCGTTATACCAGAAATTAACCACCAATGGTTTTACAGAAAGCTAAAATCCTTGTGGGTAGAGTCCACATACAAGGTAACTTAAAATAAAGCTGTAATCCAAATAAAATACTTTCAGGGGCTGTTGGAGAACCCCTTAACAAAAACATTTTTCAATAGAAGTATTGCTTATATGAACATTTTCAGGAAAAAAAAAATATAAAAGTGACATGATGGTACAGCAAGTAATAAAAAAAACCCAACAAACCAAACCGAACAAAAACCCCAAAACAACTTTCCCCTCTTCACCTCTGAGCTTTATGTTCTCTTTTACAGAGAGTGGTGCTCAGTATCAATCTCAAGTCAAACAGAAAGTCATCAACACAGGAACAAGTTAAACTGGCAGGTAGCAAAACATCATTAGAACTTGAGAAACTTTATTATTTTTCAACATTTTAAACTTTTTCCAACTTTATCTATAAATGAACAACCTAAGTTACCTTATCAAGTGTTTTTGGTGAGCCTGTCCTACTGCCTTTCCCCAAATATACACTACTGAAATTGCTCCTAAGAAAACATCACGGGCTTATGTATCAGGTCAGAAACAAAACAGATCTACCATCCATGTCCTAGCCAAAGAAATACTGCCCTGATCTTCCTTCTTTGTTTTCATTTCTTTCACAAATACTTGGCTTACTCAGTTTTCAAATTTTCAAAGTTCAACAACAACAGCTGGCAAAAATAAAGATCCCTCACCAGAACTCCTTCCACTTGGACAACTCACTCGAGCCAGTTTTGTTTGCTCAAGCCTGGTAATACAGCCTCTCCTCCAAAGAGGCACAGCCACACAAATCACTGCAGTTCCCTCTAACAGCAGATGTTCACATGCGCTGTTTTATTTGCAATAACATTAGGTTCTTCAGATTACATTTGAAACTAGAGGGACACGGGAAATGAGCTTATTCAAAGTCTTGGCCAAGGTGTCCCGAGGTAGGGAACTAGCTGCCATAGAGAAACACACCACTGTTTCCTTGGTGTTATTCCCACAGGCAGCAACATTCCTCTTTCTTCCTGTGTGTAAGCACTCTTCTCTCTACAACTCGGGTATTATTTGCAGCAGGAAGACTGACCACTTGGCATCTGCGTGTGCAGATATGCTTCTGGAATTGGTATTGCTCAAGAATAAAGCCTGAGCTCCACAGTTTCACAGTAAAACACTG